TTTCACAAATGCTAATTGCCGGTAAAATGTACATAATATCACACATAAAAGTGCTAACCTAACAATGTAAATATGCTAATTAGAGACACTGTGAGGTAATGAAATAAGCCATCACATAATTAGAGACAATGCTAAACAATTAGAAACATGACTTCACATACTGCCAGTGGTCAGGTAAGAGTGACCACCTTAAAGACAGGACTGGACCTTGTCCTGATACAGGTGAACTGTGGACAGCTTGTCGGGTATACTAGTAAGTATTTTAAGACTGTGGGGGCATGGATGACTGTTTTAAAATGGAGAGAGAGAGAGAGAGAGAGAGAGAGAGAGAGACGGTAAGGGTGAGGGTAAGGGAGAGAAGAATGGAGGGAGAGAGAGACAGAGAGAGAGAGAAAGGGAGGAGAGGAGAGAAAAAGATTATATCTTTAAGGTGGCTTTGGGACTGCATACCTGGAGCACAGGTATCAGGTGTAGCTGCCGCAGGAAACCTATCACCTGGAGATATCCTGCCAGATTTCAAATACAAAGCACCTGCCCTGATAACACTAGGCAGTCTGCTCACATTTATTTCTTATCTAGTTTTAGTTCATGTTTATCATTAACTTTCATTCCTGTTCTTTCCTGTGTAGTGTACTAGTATTTATCTTCAAGTGTATATAATTTCCTCCTCATCTTCAAGCTTTATCAACAGGACATGTGCGCCCATTTCAGTACAACTCAAAAGTTTTAGCTTCATGCACCATGTCCACATTTAAGGAAATCTTTCTACAGAAACATGCCCTCTCACTTACTAATATGCAATTCTAGGAATTTCAGCTACAGCCTGGTGACTTCCCATTCAAATAGGCCTAGGAATTTTATCTTCATGTCATAACAGCGACATGTGTTCGTCTCAAAATATACAAATGCAGTTTAATCTATCTGAACAATTATTTTGTGATATTATATCAAGATGAGATGTCAATCAGCTGTTTCCTTGTCCACTTAGTGACTTCTCCTCTACATCACAGTGCTCTACAATGATGGAGACAACTGGATCTTTTCAATAAAGAATATTGTGAATTTATCGTGTTTTCCCAAAAAATCACAAACTATTAAAATTAGAACATTTCTATTGAGCAGTAGCAAGAAAACCGAAAAACAGGCGACCTTTTAGTTCTTTTCTTTACAGAAAAGGGACAACAAATGCTTCACAGAATTTTTTTCTTTTTTACAACTCTAAAATAATGTATCTGAAGGACTGATATTTTTTCATATTGAAAATATTGAATCATGACGTTAAAACATTTGTTATCATAGCTGTAGCAGGCCTCAACTGACCACAGAGTGACCGCCTTCACCCATAACAGATTACAGTGACCACACTAGTAATTTTCACTTCCAGCATTTGGTCTTTTCAGATAACAGTGTTCACACTTAACTCACTGTCAATTAATCCCTGTTATCAAGGTAAGTTATTAATTGTAATTGCTGCCCACTTCACTGTGATGGGTCACCTCAGGCAAAACAAAGGGTTAAAATGGCCAGTTGAATTTATCACATGTAAAACACTCTCCCTTAAAATATTTTCAGTTCAAGTTAATGCCATCCTATGGGTGATTGCTGTGGGTGAAAAAAAGGGGGAAAGGCTTCTTAAATAATTTACTGTACTAAAAAAAAGCCAGGGAAGAGGTAAGCTCAGGGAGCAAGAGAGAGAGAGAGGGAGGGAAGGAGAAGAGGAGAGAGAGAGTTAAAATAATGAATAGTATTTTGACATATATGAGACATTCACAAACAATTTCTAAAACCAAAATGACCACAGATAAAGCATACCATCCTCCAAGCACATCCCAGAGCCGTCTAGAAGATTTCTGTCAAGGTTTTAAAGCATGACCATCGTAAGAAAGAATGCCAACATTAAGGGTGCTTTCCCAGAGATTTAGATCGATCTAAAGACAGACGCTTAAGCCGGCCAAGCTGACAGTAATCTAGTGAGACTCCCCACAGGGATAGGTCGATCTAAAAATCTATGGAAATGGGGTGTAAGACAAAACAGGAAAGCCATCAGCGAGGCTATAACCACCAAGCCTTAAAGAACAAGTCCCTTTAACCACTCCCCATTGTGCATCAAGCCACGTCTCATGCTTTTATTCCATCATGATTCTCACATTACTTCTATTTCAACAACAACATCAACAAAAGCTGAAGACAGGTAAGAGCCCAGTAGAGGTCCAGGGTCCAGCTGAAAACAGGTAAGAAGGCAGGGTTCAGCAAAGGCCACTAACAGAGTCAGGTGGTCAGCTCATCGCCACAGGGAATGCTTAACAAAACACGATAACAATACTAATACATGCGAAATGGACGGCAGGAGAAATAATAGCAGCTCTGGTTACAGTGGCAGTGCCTTGTTTTGCTTGGACATCAGAGGAGTCGGCTTTCTGTTTTGAAAAATGTGAAGATTAGTTTTGTTTTAGCTGAATGTAGTCTTGTTCTTGTTTTCTCGTATAACCTTGTAATTTTCAGCTGACAGTCAAGTAAAAAAAAAAAAGAAAAGGATAAATAGGTGATTGTCTTTTTATAGAGCTTGCATCCAGGGTAGAAGATTGCTTGTGACCAAATAAGTGAAAGACTCAAAATAACAATCAGTACTTATGCCTTGCAGTCAAGAGACAAAATGTTTCTTCTGTTCCCACAAATAAATGGGTGAACAAGTTCAAATCCTCATAAAATATGGATTTATAGAACACAGCTCATATTCATAGTTTACTGGATTTTGATAAAATTTTCATTTTACCACTTCTTTTTTTTTATGAAAAAGCTAAAACTATAAATTTACTTTTTTTGGTCTGCAATCAAGTTAAAACATTTAATTTTACTATTACCAGCCATACTTTCATTTCAACTTATTTTCCTTATTCAATAAAAATTAAAGCAGGCATTTAAATTTAGTTGCATTTCATGAGAGCTCAAAAATTATCTGCTGTAAATGGTGTATTCTCTCCTGCTGGCAGAGCCAATGAGGCACTGTGTTTTTATTGAAATTTCTATCGTTACCTTTCCGTTATCTTTCCGATCCCAAATGAAGGTCAAACACACACACATACACAAACAAACCAACTACCACCAAAAACAGTCTAAAATGACATATATCTCCCTAATGCTGTGAAATTGGGCCTGCTCCTGAGAGAAATGAAGCATTGCTTTTACTGAGCTTTGTATCATAATCACCCCAATCCCTAATGGGGGTCAATGATCTCTTCCTGTCTCCCCCCCCCCACCTCAATCCGCCACAACCTCTCTCTGTATCCATTACACTGTGAAGTCTGCCCTGCTGCTAGGACAAATGAAGCAGTGTGTTTTTATTGAGTTTCCCCTCATTATCTGCCCCCTCCCAGCTTGGCATAAATATATACGACATCTTTATTGATTATCCCACTTTTCCTGGATATGTGAGCTCTTAGGCAGCATTGCCGTACTTTGCTTAAATAGAGACTATGGTAGTGATACAGTCCATCTTATTTTCTCTCTAAATAAAACAAAAGGCATGATTTTTTTAAATCATTTCAACTGTTAATCTAGACAATGTTTTTTGGTCAGTGAAGCACCGTCTTCGAGAAACATTCAAAAACAGAAAAAGAAGAGCACTAATTATTATTGGTCATAGAATGTGTCAATATATTTTCTTTAGCCAGGGGGGAGGCATACTTTATTGGTTAAGTGCAAAAGCATATAGCTTTACACCAAGTTTGCTATACTGAGATAATTTAGTAACACGTCCATGCTAAAAAAAAATACAAAAACTACTTATTGCTATATGATCAGTTTTCTATAGTGTCCTAACATCAAGAGAAATAGTTACTAGTACTTCAAGACAGAATTTTTAGTAGTTTTTAATAATTTATACTTTTACTATTTTTTGTTTTTCTTTCTCTTTCTTTCTTTCTTTTTTAAGATATGAAAAGTGCAATCAACATTTTAATTGCTGTCAACTCAAAATAATCAAGGAAATGTCACTTGTATTATAATTATAACATGTAACTTATTTATATTTAAAGAAAGTACGAGCTGCCTCAAGCACAAATGCTGTCCACAAAACTGACGAGTAGCCAGGAAGTGAGTGTAAAGTGGCCATTATACGATGATTCATTGGTGGGCCACAAAAATTATACAAAGAAAATTAATCATATACAAAAATAAACATATGCCATTCTACAATATGGCCACGATTTCATACATATACCCATAATAAACTCAGAATAATGTGTTAAAATTAACGGCACGCGGATTTAAATAGACGGTCACAGTCGGAAAATTATCCAGGCCAAAAATAAGCTCCTCGTCCTCTTCTGAACCCTGTCTATGAATAATACAATCAATCTTGCAACCTATAATCATTTTAAATATAGATACAGACAGACAGACGTTGATAAAATTCAACCCAAATGGCATTTGTCATACCAAGTTTGCACCTGGGTTTTATGTGATGTGATGGACTTGAAATACACGGACATCTAAGCAACACCCAAACATACCTAACCGGCAACCGGGAAAAAAACTTGAATAATTTAATGAGCGAGTATCGCATTACAATTTAAGTCCAGCAGGCGTCACACACGGTCCAATTTTCACAGCGACATTCTTGTGCTTCGTAAAATAGTATCTGCTGTGTATTCAAATTGTTTAAGGAACGCTTACCTCTTTTTCAATCGGTTGGCTTGATATCTTCACCCTCGCCCCTCGTGTTGCAGGTGGTTGTTTTTCAAAATGGCAATCAGACATCCGGGACCTTGGTCGCTTCCTCGTAATGACGTCATTATTCTCACCTGCATTCCTTATCTTCTGAATGCGATAGTTGAGCTCTGCCAATACAATGACGTTGTGGCGTGCTTAAAAAGGATGAAAATTTTTTCAAAGTAAACCCCAACGGTTAATTATTCTGAAAATATGTAGCTGAAGACATTTCTTTTCTTTTTCTCATGTTATAAATTTTTTTTTAAATTTTATTATACCTTTTTGGTTCTATACTGCAAAAATAAATACGCGAGCATTGAAAAATTGGCCATCAGTACCAAACATCAAAAAGACCAAATTTGGTCAAACTCAACGTATTTTTAATCAATCACTTCAGTGACGATATACATATTTCAAATAACTGCATTCAGTTGCAATGTTTGCTTTTCACATAAATAAATTAGTTTCGCTATGTCAGCTATCTGTAACAACTGCTTCACATGTAGGCCTACAGAAAAAGAAGACAAATGTACAGAATGTCCGCAAAACTTCATGTAAGAGTAAGAAAAAAGGGGGTGCCTTCTGAAAAGCTGACTTTTGTGTTGGAAGACAAATAGTTAGAGGTTTATTTACAAACGCATGTTATTAAGTTATCTTTGTCACAAATCTCTTAAATTTTTGTAATACTTTTAAGTACTATTAAAATAATCTATTTTTAAACCGCGCTACACGAAAGACAGAGCGCTGTTTATAAATCTTATTATATACTACAAATTCATTTAAACTCATGTAAGGGAAGTAAAAGGGAGAAGAGACATAAATAATCAGTTGTGTTTCTTTTTAACATTTTCTTTTTCGTCAAAGTCGTGACACAGTCTCAAATTTCTTATGGTCATACGTTTTAACTCAGTTTTTACCCCGTTTCGCTTCATACAATAAAAAAGATTATAAAGCAATGCAATGTTATAAGGGAGATATGATATTTGCTTTGTTGATGTTGGTTTCTGGGTAGAGGGGTGTTAAAGAGCAGGACCTCAAGTCAGATTTTGGCACGCGCCTTCTTTATACCCCTGTCTTACACCTGTTCACAAGACTTGCAAAGTCTTCTAGAATTCGATCGATGCTGGCAGTAGCTTAATGGTATTAGCGGTTATTTAAAAATGACAAACATTGAAAGGCTTTTCCCAAAAATCGAATTACAATAAATAAATAAATAAATAAATAAATAAATAAATGAAATAAAAATAAATACATTCACATCCGGAACATTTTCTTCACTTATCATTTTTTCGTTATCTTTCCCTCCTTGCAGTATTTGCAGACACAGACCCCCTCCTCCCCCCCAACTATCAACTCACGCACACAAACTCATGTAGGCCTACACATACAATATCAGCTGATTACTCATGTTGATTTCCCTTTCACTAGCTAACCCTGGCGAGGAATTTCCGATAAATCGAGAGAACAAAAAGATAATATTATCAACAGAAGCACCTTTGAGCATGCGCAGAAGATAACTTCGTTAACAAAGGCCGGTGTATACAGGTGAGACTGACGGAACTGACGTCATCGAGGTCACCAGGGGGTCACCAGGTAGACTTAAAGCTGGAGACTTAATGTTAATGGAGGACGGTTCACAACAACACGTACAGAAGCCGTTAAAGCGACCGAGAAAGCGATAAGAGGGGGTTTTAACAGACTGAGATATTCATCACCGGTTGAAGCGTCGGCTTGACGACACCGTACTGAAAATACAGCTTCTCTGTTCTTTTTATGGTCTAGTACGTGACAATGTTTTCATGAATTCAAATGTGACTAATTTGGATTGAGTCATTTGTAGAAAGAAAGAAAGAAAACGAGGGTTTACAATGTAAGCATTGAAGGGATCACATTTCAAGTTTACAGGTGAGATATCTGAGCATTTGTAATTTGGGTAATTTATGACTTTGAGAATGGATATTCCATATGTTCTGGTATAATATTTGTAACGAATCCGTCCATTTTATAATTTCGTCGTACAAGCAGCTTTTTCATCAAGTGAAGGTAATTACAGTGAACATAGTTGGCTTCATGCAGTTCTTATANTACGTTAAATATTATGTTAAATAATTCGGCGGACTAATTAAGTTTCGTTCCCCAGAGCCACTCTGGTTAATGGCCAAACTGTACCCTCCCCCCCCCCCCCCCTTACACACACACGTTTTTAAAACAAAATGGCGGATTCATCTCCCATGCCTTGCACCCTCACGAGAAAGAGCAAGGAGAGGATTTAAGGAGTTTAAACAAGTACCGCAACATATCCATAATATGGGTGGTGGGGGGGGGGGGGAGGGGGGTGCTATTTACTTGCCTCCCCCACACTCCCCTCTTGATGTTTTGAAGTCGCCAGTCTAATCAATTAACGACTTTAAGGGTGTATAATAATTGAATATTACGGTTCCAGACTGTCAGTAGGTCTGCCACTGCTCACATTACATAGGCTACTGCAGCTGACGAGAAGCTATTTGTTGACTACTGTGCCATAAATAATTCAATAATGTGAAGTCACCGTTAAGTCCGCGCCGGCTTAAATGATGTACTGCAGTCTCAGAGAGGAGACTGGGTGATTACTTGACCACCGTTAATGATTATAAAGTGGTCTTATTTGGGGACGTTTACTGGGGGATTTTCCCTTAAGGCTTTTTTTCGTGGTCCACCCCCCTCTCTCCCCCTTGTCTCTCTCTCTCTCTCTCTCTCTCTCTCTCTCTCTCTCTCTTACACACACACACACACAGAGAGAGAGAGAGAGAGAGAGAGAGAGAGAGAGGATAATTATTCCATCTGTTGATTAACTGATTAATTATGCAGTTATTAATTAAGTCTTCTTCACGAGCTTGATTGCACTGATAGATTAAACAGTGTGTGACAATAGGGGTATTATTATATCAAATATTATTGTCCTTCCGTGAGTAGAGCTGATATTAAACTTTCACTTATTGAAAGAACAGTCCTCATTGTTCTGTAGCCGACTAACCAGATTGTATTCAGAGTGTTTTTATGACAAGTTTCACAAGCATGTGGTCCATTTCCTTTAGGAAAGATGGAATTAAACCCGTACTCATAACGTTTTCTTCGTTTGTGTTTTGGAGGGGCTTTATAACTTAAACGTTTGAACAGGCAGTTTATAGGTCATATGCAGTCAACGATCTCCTTGACGGCACTAAATCATCGTTCAGAGCAAAAACACACAAGGCTTTACCTCTTTATTACCAATTAGATATCGAGCATGGCAATAAATTCTTGTAGATATACATGAGCGATAGTGCTACTTCTTGGCAAACAGAGTATCTTGTAGCTATGGAGGGATAGTTGCTCTAATGATGTAATAGAAAAAATATTATTTTTTATCGTCTTCATGGGAAATTCGCCAGTGTGAAAAATCTACGCAGTGCTATGGCAAATAATTTGTGCCTCTTAAAATCTCGTTCTGTTGGACGGCGACTTGAGAATGATGTCCTTCCCAACAGATAGAGAGACCGAATGAATGAAAGTTGTAGACTATGTCATCGTTTGCACATTGTAGAAATATTCCAGTAATTTAATTCTTGAAGTTAAAATCGTTATGCGTTTAATTGTTTGTACATTTATGTATTTAATTTTAGGTTAGCCATAGAATAATTACCAAAGATATCAGTACTTGTCCTCGGTATAGGAGGAATTCATAAAAATGGGTTTAGAAAGGATGAAGAAATGCTGCTTTTGTTGGAACTTGACACAGGGGAGTCTTATCAGCGCCTTGTACACTGCGGTAAGGGTTTTCTTCAGATCATAATTTCTTGATTGTTCTCGTTTTTACCTCTCTTTTTTCCCTTCCGCCTTTCATTTTTTCCTAGTCAGTTATCTTTGCCATCCTTGTCTTCTTCAGGGACTTTTTCTTTGTCTTTTTATTCATTCATCTTCATTCTTCTTCGTCCTCTTTGTTCTTAGTCGACCTTCTCGTTCATCTCTCTCTCTCTCTCTCTCTCTCTCTCTCTCTCTTTCTTTCAACTGTATTGTTTCTACGTTGTCATCTCTTTCAGGTCCCTTTGTTTATCACTGAAACTAGTGCTCTTTCCCCATCTTTTATACTATTCCGAATCTTAATGTATTAGTTCATTTTTAATACACGTTATTACAATATTTTCAGCTTGTGTGTTTAGTGTTCATCGGAATTTCTGGAGAAAAACTGGGTTCATATCACAGCCGATGGAGTAAGTGGGCATTATTATTTTTTAGTAGAAGGATAGATTAGTCCTAAGCATGACACAACTTGTAGATCACGAATTTACCAATAAATTAACAGGAAAACCTCTGTCAACAAAGAAAAACAATTATGTTTAAAACAAAGACGCAAAATGCCTGTCTGATATTCTTACATCACGCGAACATGCTTCTATGCGCTTATTTTGTCCAGAAATGGTAAAAAACATACTGAAATAAATATTAAAACAGAAATTAAATGTAAATGTAAAATCTACCTGACATATCGACATTTCTGTATACTTTACTGTTACCTTTAATGCAGGGTTTCCGCACGTCCACATCGGGTTTTACACCGCGGTCCTGTGTTTGTCCATTGTGATGTTGGTTGGGTGTGTTATGTTGGCCAACGGAGTGTCCAGGGTGAGTTATCCCCCTTAATTTTCACCCCCACCCTCCTCTGTCCTCTCTCCGCCTCTCCTCTTACCCCCCCCCCTCTCTTTTTCTCTTTTTGTCAAGTTTTTCTCTGCTGAGCATATCATAAATAAACATAATTTTGAGCAGTTGAAAGAACCATCATAAGTTTTTAATAAAGAAAATATGCCTTTAGTTGAAAAAAAAAAAAACTGAAGCATTTACGTATGTAGATTGGTGTACTTGCATTTCACTGGCGTGTATTCTATAAACTATGATATGCTATATGTATTATATATTGTAAGAGTTTTTGTGTTAATTTACTTTTATTTTTGTAGAAAAGTAAATACTTCTTGATACCTTGGATATTATTCGAACCGATATGGACTGTCTTGGCACTTTGTGCGGCCGTGGTGCTGCCATCACGTGAGTATTTATGCAATTCAAATTAAAATCTAAAAAAAAAATCTACGCGGCTGCATTGCGTGTGCTTGTATGATAATAATAAATCTCAACGGAGGCCCTGTTGATTTATTATGGACGAAAACATTGTTCTTGTACATGTTTATCTAATATGGCTGCTGAATCACCAGATGTCGTGTCACTAATTTTAATGGGGGGGAGGGTATAAAAATCACCTCTTTTCATCCTTCAGTTAGGGCCTACATATGCAAAGTGCTTTGATATGAACTTTATAAAATAAAGATCTCTTTTTTTCAATTTATAAGTAAAGTATTTTAAAGTAAATGTTGTTTTTCTAAAATAATCATAGTGGATGTTTCAGATATATTATGAAACAGATGATTTTTTATATTTATTCTCACCTGTATTACTGTTTATCTGTCTTTTAGTATACCCAACAGAAGTTGGTAATCCAGAAGACTTAACCCCGTCCATTGTTGGCGTTGTGTTTATGTGTCTATTGAACGTGAGTGTTCTTTTAGATTGTTGACCTTAATTTAAAGGTGAAAGCTACGAAATAGACGATTAAAGTTGTAGATGTTTTTAGTTTTTTTAAACATTATGATTGTCGTTTACGTGATATTAATCCAGTATAAATTGGACATGACTTACAGCTTCATTCTTACACAAACAGCATAATTTAAATTTTAAGCACCGTCCGTCATTTTAGTTCAGAAATAAGGAAATGGGCCATCTGTTATAGTTACAAACTGAATAACAGATAAATTACCAAGAATTGTGCCCAGTTTCTTTGGAGTAACCCCTTCTGTGCTATTATGCTGTAGGTTTTGTTGACCCCATGATCGTTTATTTCCAGATATACGCTCTTATTTGTGTCTGTTTCTTCTACTGGGAACTGTCCAAGGAGCCAGCCAACGCAAAGGTACTTAAACAAAATTGAAAAAGGAATAATAAAAAAATGTAAATATTGTACATGTGTTGCTTTTTTCTCCCTCAGCTGAGTCGAGATGTCATAAAGAGAATCACCCATTTAATTGGCCCTACTCTGGCTATATACGTGCTGGCGCTTTTACGTTGCATTTATTTATCTATTTATTTATTTATTTCAGAACATGGCCCCTCTTGCTTCAGTCCTCGTCGGTGGGTTCAAAGACGCAGACACGTTGATAAGGAAAAGTTTCCGTCGCTCCAAAAAGTGGGGTCGCAATCAAGCGCGCCGCATCAGCATGCGAAAACCGCGCAACTGGATGAAAAAAGAAGGGGAAGGGGCGAATGCTGATGGAACACCAAACTCAAGAACGCCGAGAAACCGAACCCCGAGGTCGATGAACGGTCCCTCTCGCCCCCCAGGTTCAGCTACGCGAGATGAAGTTGTGGCCAATGGCGTCGCCGCCCGTTCTCCAACTGAGGATTCGTATGCCCCGCCTTCGTACACCGACGTCAGCCGTCAGAATATGAGGCCCGAAAGGGGTAACCAGATTGTCATGTCCCCTGCTAATTTGGATGTGAGATATTCCCGATCTCCTGCCGAACCCCGGGATCAATATGGTGGTTATAACGCGGCCTCGGTGCAGCCACAATCCAGAGGTTATTTTGGAGATCAGCGTTCTCCAGCTTCGCCTAACGCGTACCAAGGTCTTCAGAGGTAATTTGCTCTTTAATATTCAAATTGGCATTTTGCTTCAATAAATAAAAAGGAAACGATGAGGATAAAAAGATGAAAAACTGTACATGTTGCAACAGAAGTTTCGTCATGAGCAAAATTGCTTTATTTATTTATTTATTTATTTATTTATTTATTAATTAATTTATTTATTTATTCTGGTTAATTGTAACAATGGTTTCGTTGTCAGATCTTCTCAAGAAACAGATCCACGCATGCGTGACCAGTATGCCTCCCTGTCTGGAGCCCAGTCTTATCAGAACAGAGATACTTACGAACCACGTGGTTATAGGTCGCCACAAGGTCAGGGTCAACCACCACGTGGTTACGACACGCCGTCATCGGGAGGATCACGAGGTGCCCCACGTGACTATTCCCGTGGCTCTGGCAGCGCCCCCTATTACCAAAGGCCGTATGACTCTCGCACACCTCGGTCAGACGACAGGGCGGCGCTGCATGCGCCGAGGCAAGCGGCAGATAGTAGAAGGAGATTATATGAAGACGAGGATGATGGAGGATTTGTAAATACGGCCTACACCCCTGACACGCCCTCAAAGAATTTTGCAGAAACTTACATCTGAGTTGTGTATTAAATATGACTGTAGGGCTACCACAGACCGCGTACTTAGGGAGATGCACCTTTTGAAGAAAATTTCGATTGAAGGAAACATATTTGTTTCTTTAAAGGCTACGTTAAGTCGTTCATGATGCACAAGTTTTTTTTTTGTTACGCGGTGTTCACAAAATTATTTACCAGATTATATACTGGATTCATTGACATTATTCAGTGAAACCGTAACCTGGTGTCTCCTTTCTCCTGTCTGGCGTGGTTAAACCACCACGCGTTTTGCCAGTGAACTCTTGAAGTTCGCCTCTTCACTATCTGCACTATCAGCGCTAACACGCCTCTGTGTTTTTGTCACCGAGGAAAAAAATTCAGACGCCACGCTGCAAATTTTAAACAAAAAAATTCAGCGAGATTTATTTCTAATCCAGTTGTTCACTTGTTTGGCAAAGCTGTATACGTACGTGTTCCTAAGTGAAAGGCCACCCGTCCATTTGCAGATACAAATGATCACACCTATTAAAATCAGTCAGGCTGTATACCTACCACTAATTAACTATACCATGTGGCCCATTTCTTTCATTGCCGTGACGCATTCAGGGTTTCCAATATGGCGCCGACTATATCCGCTCAGGATTTAACAGACTGAGATTAAAGTTTGCAATAACCAAGATGTTTAATTATTCTTGATAAAGGACCATGACTTTGAGTCCGTATTTAAGTGTGGCTATTTGCTGTTGAATTCACTGAAGCGATGTATTTTTCTACAACCTACGCGTAGCTCTCTCTTTCAGGCCTACCCAACTACCAGACTCGCCACTGATCGATTCCGAATTCACCGGTAGATCGGACCACACTACCCGTTTTTAAGGTGTGCGTCAGTACGCATTTCTTAGTATCATCCCTCGGAAGAAAATTTGAGATGAGATACACTACTTTCCAACCCCGCTCAGAATCATCACTGTATCACATCGCGTAGGCCTACTAGCTATAGACAAGAGCGGTGTCGCGTCTGTTACTTCGAAGCGCGTATACGTACTGACGCACACCTTGGAAACGGGTAGTGTGGTCCGATCTACCGGTGAATTCAGGATCATTCGGTGCCGAGTCTGGTAGTTGGATAGGCCTGTCTTTAGACCATGTAATTACTGGCTTAATTTCTAACTTACTATTAGTAAAAACAAACTCTCTCAAACAAAAATTGATATAAAACAAATTAAGGCTGTGTTGGGAATGTATTATTATTATTTATTGCTGTGCTTTTAATGTCTGTCATTTATAGACAAAGTACTGACACATTAATTTATATAATAAGCTTAAAACTGTTTTATACATACAGCATAACTATAGGCACATTTCTCAACAATTTCTCTTAAGAAGTATATATCGTAGAAATGATATTTTTGTTAATATATCTATTAGAATAATTAAAATAATATTTATATATATGGACTGGCTTGTCTTAGTTGAAGTCTGCACTCTCTGAGTGCTATTCACTGGGCATCAGTTTCAGCCGAAAATAAACTGCTCTGGTCTAAAGCTCTATTGCTACCAAAGAGGCGCCGACTATGTAAATCAATGGCAGCATGCGACTAGAGCCTTTAACATAATTTCCATATGAGAAAATGTGGACAGAAACACCATTGCTGGTTTAGAGTACTGCAAGGCTGGGAACAATAGTAGCGCAATTTTATATATGTACACCACTCAACTTCATATATTTTGGTTTTTGTTATATGTTTCGTATTTGCTCTAAATACATGTACATACTGTATATATACATAAATGATTCATATGTATTAATTTTTTAATCTGAAATGTTTGTGAATTGTGAAAGTGATAATTAAAATCTAACTGATGTTAACGTCAATGATAGATATTTTCTATGACCACCATGCATTTATTCAATAATTTGGATCCCTTCTTATGATAACGTTTATACTGAATGGGAAATCCGAAGTCCCTTTTTTAGATAAAAAAATCAACAATAGAGCGAGAAAAAAGTCGTAGACTGGGTTCCCATGCTTATATCGGTCCATCTGGATCAGTCTAACTCCCTGGGGAGTCTCACTAAATTGCTATCAACTTAACCAGCTTAAATGTCTGTCACGCCTACCGCATCAGCTAGGAAATAAAGATAATTACCCCTTAACAGCTTTTCTGGGCGTGACAGACATTTAAGCTGGCAAAGGTTATAGCAATTTAGTGAGACTCCCCAAGGAGATAGATCTACCCAAATAAGGAATATATATATCAGGAATGGTCCCGTATTCTTCTTTTTCCATCCCGTCCCTGTACTTGTATTTTATATTTAATATTTTATCTAATGGTTTATTTTTAAGTGCAGGCTCGTCTTCCTGGTAGGCCTACATTACATGAAAATATATCAACATCTGGTACTCTTATTTTATACTCTTTTTTTAAGGTCTAAATTGGGTACGATTAGCAGCTTTGTCGGATACACAGAACCTTTCATTCGCACATACTGTACCTCAGCTGGAAAGAAATATAATGGTTAGATGGGAAATGTATGTGGACAGTGTACTTTGGTCCTCAGGAAGATAATCCCGAAACCTGTAAACCAAGTTTTTTTTTCAGTGGTGCTTTAGCAACCAACATTTCGCCTGTTTTATCTTAAGTAGTTTAAACATTACACATGAAGTCGCCCACTTGAAGTTATTTGAACTACACGTGATAGGCCTACCATAGTGCGGTCCACACATCCACTGATAGCAGGTTTACAGTATCTGCAACACATTAACTTGGTCAACCGTGAGGTAATAATTAACAGAGGATAAATACTGATAACCTTTAATCCTTCCATGATCAATAAATCGATGTAACGATCCGCACTTGTTGTTCGCAGCTTCTGTATATTTATCCTTAGTCTCCCTCCATTACGGCAATCTTTCGCCAAACGATAAAGATATTTTACTTTGCTCTAAATGAGATTTTTAAAATGGTTAGAAATTTTGCGAACTTCAGGTTTAAACCATTATATATCAATTTAGATGTTATGTGACAATTTGTTTTTCATTTCCACCATTTTTTAACTGGTAATATGTCGCAAATTAATAATGAACTTTCTCAAAGAGTCATAAACTTAATATTCATCGTATTGGCATTTTGAAAACATAATGTTAATAATAATTATTATACTAATTATACTAATTATAATATTAATATTAATTACCATACTAATTATAATATTAGTATGAACTAATAGTATGAACTATCAAACCATGCCATGTTGTATAATACAGCTGAGATCAAACTGATAACGCGACGGAGAGCCCTGTTTTGTGATAGCAATAAATTAACTATGGCCTAATTTGATAGGCACGTGAGAGGTAGCCAAGTTCATAATTCAGACTGCGGTATACGACATCAGTGGAGCCTCCACACTTACTACCTAACAATTCTGAAAAACGTTACTGTAACACGGGGGACCTTTTAAGAGCACCAAGGTGATGACGACATTAGGACTGCCCCACCCGTAAAAATCAACCTGAAATAAGGAGCTCGCTGTAAGTATAGTATTAGTATAAATTAACGTAAAGATTCGACGTTTAAACGTACTCTAGCTAGGATCACGGTAAGTTAAAGGGTTTATACCCTATCGACGAAAATTAGGCAAATATTGAATTGGTGCCACTGTCTTGTAATCTGACAACAAAGGGGCCTTTTTCACAAGGATCGGTATACTTTGGTGATGCACCCTGTATCGGTACACTTTGGTGATATAGTCCGCGTCGGTACAGTTTGAGAGACTAATCACTCACTAGAGTGGCTATTATAGAGTGCCACCCAAACGGAGCCATCTTTCTCAACACGGCCAGGAAATTAAAACTCGATCAGCTTCACAGCAAGAGGCGCACTCTTGTGAAGAGCATATATAAACTGTAGCGGTACAAATTATAGAGATACTTATCAAAATAATAATAATAATAATAATAATAATAATAATAATAATGAAACGAATTAATAAGTACATAAGTGAATATCCTTCAATTGCCGCCCGAGGTACATGGATAAACCATAGAGGACTAACAGGTGCCTAAGGTACAGCGCTGACTATGGCTGCATTCACAACCAGTTGATCCGCGGACTAACTGATTCCCCGATCAAATATGGCCGAACCGCTTGAAAATTAAGCTTGGCACATAATCCCTTAAACAATAGACACTGAATAGATACCCTGTAGGGGTTATGAGGCAAGCTTTCAAATGGATCGGCCATATTTGATCTGCGGATCTTTTAGTCCGCGGATCAACTGTGGTTGTGAATGCGGCCTGTATGTAAACCTTAATATTAAACTGTATACGTTTTTGTGACATATAATTCATTTGAAATCCGTTAAATTATACTGAAACCTGAAAGTGTTGTTTTTCAGATTTTTCTATGGACTGGACCTCAATAAAGAAACGCAGCCTTTGGACTTGAGGTTCCATCAGAGATTAATCTCATTGTGATAAAAGGGATCGAGACGTTGGGAAGGTTTCATAATTCTATAACAAAGAAATCAGCAGTCTTCAGTAGCTGAGGGTACCCTTCTCCTCGGGGAAACCTTAGAAATTAACGTACTGCACGTACTCGTCAAGGCCCTACAACATGGACGAGAGTGAGCCCATCTTGGACTTCAGGTCCGCAAAGAGAGGTGAGTCGAAGGCCTTCAACAACATTACGTAGTAATATGTATTCACGTACTCCTAGGGTTTGGAATGGGAGTGCAATATTGAAGAAATTAGACTTGTTATTGCTGTTAATTTAATTGTGTCCCTGGTGGAGATCTGACGTAGCCTTTTGTGTAAGATCATCCAAAAGTCCTGTTTTATTTATTTATTTATTTATTTATTTATTTTCAATTCTTCACTAAGAAGTCCTTTCCCTTTCCTTTTTCTCAATATATGGAAAATTATGCCCCTATGAATTAAACGATGCAATATGTTATATGCAAAATCCGATAACGGATGACCTGATGGTGATAACGAGGCTGATATGTGGAGTGTGGGACGACATGGCAGAAAGCGAGAAGAGTGAGACAGACAGCGACAGTGAAGTCGACGAAGATATTAGTCCGTTAATTTCTCCTCCAGTTAAACAGATAGGTATCGATTGTTCTGTTCACTTTTTGATGTCGAATAAGGTCAGTGAATCAGCTGTATCGTATTTAGCTGCAAGCTTACAGCTGATCATGAGTTAATTGAAGCCAGTGACAACACTGTTGATATTTATACTGCGAAGCAGGCAGCAACAACCCCTCCCCCACGCCCCGCGTGCATACACACACACACACACACACACACACACATACACACTGTGCCCCCCCCCCCTTCCAATTCATGTTCTTCTTTCTGGCTGCTGCAATTTTTTTATTTCACACTTGATTCACTAAGTTTCTTCTCTCAGGCGCGTTTTGCTGAGCAATGACCTGCATATGTACATGCAGACATGAATCTGCACTTTGTAACTGTAAATGATGTTTTGTCATGCCATATTGCTGCATAAGGAAGGGGGGGGGGGCAGGGTCAGCTTAGGGAAGCTTTGTTTTAAATATGTGAACCAAACTGTTGCAGTCAAACTTCTTCAGTCCATCTCTGCTTGAGGAAAAGAAATAGAAACCAGTTATATTTAACCTAAATTCTCTAAGTGTCTGTCCTTGCTTTAATCAATGCATCATAGTTCTGCAGTGTAAGGAGGGAGAAGATGGTGGTTTGGGTGAGGTTGGTGGGTAAGGGTAGGGGTAGTCCTGCCTCCCCCCCCCCCCCTTCGGTTTCTGAAAAATATATCACACCAATATATTCTCCTTTTAGAATTTTGACTAGCTAAATCATAGTTATAAACAGTATGTACCAAAGGGCACTGTTTGCTCTCCAAAACACCAAAAACTTTTCGGGGCCCAAGAGCAGGCCCTGAACCCACACCGAGGGGGCAATGGTCGGCTTTGCATCCCAGGTCTGTCGTCCTGGACCCCTCCTACAAAAATAATCCTGGATTTGCCTCGAGGTGGGGTTATGTCATGGTACTTCTCTATACATCCCCTATCTTGCCTGCATACTATATACCTCAATTGTTACTGTCCATACATATCATAATTTATTATTATTTTCTTAATTTCTTTAATTAAATAATAATAAATTAATCAATTGATTGATTTGACTATATCTATCTATCTATATATATGTGTATCTTTTCAGAGAGTACAGGAGGATTTTTCTCATGTCGCAATGTGCTGGCATTGATGGCATTCATGGGCTTTGTGAATGTCTACGCACTCCGTGTCAACCTCAGCGTTGCCCTTATCGCCATGGTCAACGAGACGGACTCCAAGTCCCTGAACTCAACTGATGGACAATGTCCAGTGACAGAAGTGAATTCAACATCCCCTTTTAAAAAGAATGGAGTAAGTCTAGAGGATGGTACAGATGTTTATGTGGGTTTTATGTACTGTACTGTACCTTCTACCAGGGACATGGATTTATTGTTCACTAGATATCCACAGATACAGTTGTATGTCTCTGGGTTAATTCATGGTTTTTCTCTGCACTGCAAGAAAAATCCACATAGAAACTGTAGCCCTGGTAGAGGGTACGTTATATGTGGGTTTTATTTGCAATCTGCATCTAAGACCCCATTCCCAGAGATTAGATCGATCCAACTAGACCGGCCTAACTCCCTAGGGGTCAGGCTAAATAGCTGTCAGCCGAGTAGGCACAAAAGTTAATTACCCCCTTACAGCTTGTAGTAGGCGGGACGGACATTTAAGCCGGATTATCTGACAGTAATCTAGAGACTTCCCATGGGGATAGATCGATCTAAAATCTATGGGAATGCGCCCTAAAAGTCATACAGAGGCCTTGTTCTAGAATATATTAATATAATTTTGATGACTTATATACTCAAACTTTATAAAAATTCATAGGCGTTTTATATTATGACCAAATATGTTAAATTTTACTTTTCCTGCACATATATTAATAATAATAGTTGTTACAGTATTCTATGGAGTTTTAAGACACTTCCTTTATGAAATCTCCAGACCCTTTTTATTATCAGTAATTGGAACTGCAACTTTGTTTTCGAAGTGCTAGTATAGATTGATTTAGTTTCAGATTTGTCTGTTAGGTTACGAGATGAAGTCATTTATGATAAATGTTCATAATTTTCCAGAAATGTAAGTAATTTTTTTTCAATTCCAGAACTTTAACTGGGATGAAAACCTTCAGGGTCTCATTCTGGGTGCCTTCTTCTATGGTTACATCACCACCCAAATCCCTGGGGGTTGGCTGGCCAACTGGATGGGGGGGAAGGTCCTCTTTGGGGGCGGAATATTTATAACTGCTTTGCTGAGCATTGTGATTCCAATCTGTGCCAAAACCAGTGTGTCTTTACTGATAGCTGTCAGGGTGGTACAGGGAATAGGAGAGGTGAGGTTGTTACAGGAAATACGATTGGATGATATTAGTCATATGTTTTGTTCTGTGAATTTTGATTGGTCACTTCTCTGTTTGAAGTTGTCATCCTGATTGAAAACTGATGTGATTGCTTTGTTGCAACGGGCAGTTTGATTGGTTAAAGGTGTGATTTTAATTGGTCACAATTGGCATATGTTGATATTATTTATTTAAGAAATAAAGAAATGCTGAGAAATGATAAGAATTGCTGGTACAGGTTTTATAATTGGTTGATATTGATCTATCTTTTTATTTTTCATAACATAGTATTATGTGATTATTTTTTGTGATCAAAATGCTATCGATTCTAATATGTAATTGTAAGGGGGTTCTGGAATTACAGAATTGAGTATTGAATAAACTATTATTTTTTTGATAATTTATATAATATTGATCGCTTGATGAATATTCTGAGTTATTTTGATCACAAGAATTTAACAGTGTCACTGGATAATTGATTATACGAAGTACTAGTAGGCTGTTTCAATCTCTGCTGTATCAATATATATGAAGTTTTTTTTTTAATCCCAGGGTGTCACATTTCCCGCCATGCATGCTATGTGGGGAAGGTGGGCCCCACCATTAGAGAGGAGTCGACTGGTTTCTTTTAGCTACGCAGGTATTCACTTCTCACTTGAATTTTGGTACAAAAATATTTTTTCATGATAGAGTAAATGAATCAATTATGAACATGTTAGGGTATTGCAGAATATAATTTAGTGGAGAGTTATTGTCATTTAAAGGCTTAGAGCTAGTTTTAATTTAAATAGTTTTATATATTGGTCAATTTAATTAACAGAAGTATAATGTAATTAAAGCAAAAAATAAATCATGGTTTCTTTTAGCTACGCAGGTATTCACTTCTCACTTGAATTTTGGTACAAAAATATTTTTTCATGATAGAGTAAATGAATCAATTATGAACATGTTAGGGTATTGCAGAATATAATTTAGTGGAGAGTTATTGTCATTTAAAGGCTTAGAGCTAGTTTTAATTTAAATAGTTTTATATATTGGTCAATTTAATTAACAGAAGTATAATGTAATTAAAGCAAAAAATAAATCATGATTTAGATAAAATCGAATGTTAACAATTCATAACTAAGTTATAAGTTGAAAAAATATTAATATGTAGTCTAGAGTTTTACTCAAATGTCAACAGTAAGGTTACCTGAAGGTTTCTAGTGGCATGTATTGTAACAGAAATAATTTCATTTGATTGTTTCAGGAGCTCAACTGGGCACTGTTATAGCTCTCCCTATCTCAGGGTACCTGTGTCAGTCATCACTTGGATGGGAGTCAGTGTTTTATGTATTTGGTGAATTGACATTTTCCAATATGCTTTATATAGTATAACAGTAGTCTTATCTAGTATATATTTCTTATACGTATTAAACATAGTATTATGTGATGCTAAATAACAGTATTTTTTCGTGATCAAAATGCTATTGATTTTTATTTCTTGGTAAAATGTCATTGAAAATTGTTAGTTATTTTAAATTTGCATTTTGTGTCAAAAGGTGGCGTTGGCTGTGTCTGGTATGTTGCCTGGATGATATCAGTTTAATATATTAAAATGTTAGTTTATCTTTCCTGCCAAAAGGTGGCGTTGGTTGTGTCTGGTGTGTTGCCTGGATGATATCAGTTTAATATATTAAAATGTTAGTTTAATTATCATTTGTGCCAAAAGGTGGCGTTGGTTGTGTCTGGTGTGTTGCCTGGATGTTCATAGTCTCTGACAGCCCAGCAAAACACCCCAGGATAAGCAGAGAGGAGAAAGACTATGTGGAAACCAGCATTGGTGTGGATAAACACAAGGTGGGTGTGTTAAGGGGGGGGGGGGTTGGTAGGGGGAGGAAGGGGGTAATCACAGCCCAGTAAAATTTCTCAAATATAAGCAGAGAGGAGACAGAATTATCTGAATAGAAACCAATACATTGGTATGGAGGCGTTAGGATGAGTGAGTTGTTGAGTTAAAGACACGTAAGGGAAAATGTCGGAAAACATACTATGAGAATACAACCACATGAGAATTCTTTAATATAATTATCATCCAGGAATGAGTGCATCAAAAAATGAAAATTGAAGACAGCTTATTTCTTGTGTTTGGAAAAAAAAGGTAAACATAAAGGGCATTCAAAGAGAAAATAAATAAATAAATAAATAAATAAATAAATAAATAAATAAATAAATTGATCATGCCAAGTTATTAAGTTGACTAAGTACATTTATCTCATTAATGGTAATTAACCTTATATTTATTTTCATTTTCAGGATTTAAAGACACCTTGGTTCTCCATTTTAACCTCCATGCCATTCTGGGCAATCCTGATGGCTCACATGTGCAATAACTGGGGGTTCTACACACTCCTGACCACCCTGCCTAAATACATGAGAGAAATCCTCAAGTTTGATATAGCACAGGTGAGGGTCAGATGTGTGTTGGTGTTGGTTTTCAGGTTATTCTGCTTTCTCAAGGACATTTCTACTCTCAGTCAAGTCACTGCAGATTATTTTCTATAGGCATAGTTTGTTTTGAAATTTGGGGAAATTGCAGTTTTTTTTTTTTAAATTTTGTTTATAAGCAAAACTTGTTCAAATTTAGTGTTTTTTTTTCAAATGAATATCAGCTTTATATATATATTAAATTTTTTTTTTTAAACAGAATGGCTTCCTGTCGGCTGTGCCATATCTGTGCATGTGGATTATAGGAAATGTATCAGGGATATCGGCTGATTATTTACGTCATAATAAAATACTGTCAACAACTGCAGTGAGAAAACTCTACAATGGCTTAGGTGAGATTTATACTCATTTACCTATGTGTGCATGTCTGCGTGGGTGGGTGCGTGCTTGTTTGTTTGTGCCAATGTTATTGTGGAGGAAGTGAGATGTTCACTTCATCCTGTAGCAATAGACCTGTCTACCTTTTTATTTATCAAGGTCTGTAGTCAACAATTTCAAAAGGAGTGAAAGTTCTTTTCCTGACCTAATGACCTTAATTTGTATCTCTTTACTTAGTGTTCCCAATTTGAGAAAAAGCATAAAACCTCTGTCAGAGTTTTCTTTCTGGTCACTGTTCTTTCCCCTCAAACCCCCTCACCACAGGCCAAGTGCCTGTGTTTCTGTTTGTCTTTTATTGGATACAAGTGATCCTTATACTGTAAAATCTCTCTCTCAATCTCTCTCTGTCTCTCTTTCTCCCTCTCTCTCTCTCCCTGTCTCTCTCTCTCAGCTGCCTACATGTTTTTTTTTTGTATTTACTTCAGGTTTGATGTTTCCAGCAGTTTTCTTAATATGTGTAACTATCATAAAATGCAACCACATTCTGGCTGTCTTGTTCCTCTCCATGGCAGTGGGGTTAGAAGGCATGATCTACGCAGGGTTTAATGTCAACCACCTTGATATTGCTCCAGCATATGCAGGTGAGGACTAGAGTGCAACCACAACAATAACAACAATAATAATAATAATAATAATAATAATAATAATAATAATAATAATAATCAGGTTAAGGTTGTAATGGAAAATTTTGCAAATAATACTTGGTAAAAAATGAAAATTTAAGTTAAAAGTTTCATTGTGCTAGAATATTTTCATCATCCCAATAACTTGTATTATTACATTATATGAAAGTAGTGAAAGTGATCAGGAGTTATTGTCATTGTACAGTAGGAACTTGTCAAGTGTGTTATTGTTTTGTTGGAATATTTCAACAGTTTTAAGTATTAAGATGGTATAAATATATAAATATGCTTAAACATTTTAACCATCTGTTAACAATGTTATTATCCCTATCAGGTTTAGTGATTGTATCTTTGATGAAAATGTGGAGGTTGAAAGGAGGGAGAAAAGGAAAAAGTGTGGTTGTTGAGCCAGTATGATAATGTGTTAGTTGAGACAAGGTGTAAAATGGGGCAGTATGGTTGTTGAGCCAGTATGTTCACTGATAATGTGTTAGTTGAGACAGCATTTTAATCAAAGCAGCTGTGCAAAAATTACAGAAGGAGAAGCTGTTATGTAATAATATTGCTGTTCATATAACAGAGTAATTTCACTGCTACATTTATCAGCTGGGATTGTTTCAGGAACTTTGTATGGCCTCACCAATCTGGCAGCCACAATTCCAGGTTTTCTAGGGCCACAGGTTGTTGGTATACTTACAGACAATAATGTAAGCATATGGAGTACACTGGGCCTAGTTACACTCAACCTGTACCTAAGCCATCACAAGCTTGCAGTAAAAATATCCAAGATTTGTTTTTGTCCCCTTTTTTTTGCTGTGCACACTTAGTGGCCTGAAAGCAAATTTCAGGTTGTTGGTAATCTTACAAATGATACTGCAAGCAAATTGATTGTCCTTAGCTGCATATATCATGTCCTTAGCCTGGTTATCCACATGTATCTAAGGCTTTTTAAGCTAGCTTGCAGTAAAAATAGCTATGCTTTGTAAATTTTTTTTCCATTTTTTTTTTTTTTTTTGTGACTGTACATAATTACTAGCCTCATAAAGCAAATCTTCTGCTGTTTTTAAGGTTGTGCTCCACCTGCTCAGTGAACAGCATAATTAACTCTCTCTGTTACTTGAGATCTCTCTGTTACTTGCAATTTCTCTCTGTAACTTAATTGCGATCTCTCTCTCTCTGTTACTTGACATCCTGTGGATTTTTCCCCCCTTTTTGTCATTGCTAGCCTTCTATTCTGCTGGGAGCTTACAAAATCTTTATTTAATGTAAATTTGATCAATTTCTTTCATTATTTTCTGTAATGTAGATCTTGGGAACTCCACTAGAAATCCTAATTGATGTGTGACAACATAAAGTCTGTAAGATCTTTATCTCATTTGTATTACTGTTCTTTCATTTATTTCACTGCAACATTTCCAACAGTAGTCACTGCTTTAAAATTAATTCTACTTTTATTTATTTGACATCTTATATTTTTTCATGTGTATATTTTATCCACAGGACCTATTACCACCTTCATTGCCTGTTACTTTGATCTTCTCCTTTAACCATACTCATTGCTTTCTTTGGCCCTCTCTTGTCCCACTCAGTTCCTGTTTTATTTTTCCCTACAATGGACATTATCTTCTAGCCTATAAAAGGGTCCTATGTCATTTCTTTCTGTATGGAGTGCAATATTATTAAATTAATAACTCATCTTGTGTTACTCTTATACTGGTATATGTTAACTAATCAATCTTCTTTAACTGCATTGCACTTTATTCACTATCTCTGTTCACATTTGTTCTGTATTTCGTGAACATGTACATTTCTATAATTTTAAACGTTTTATGTAGGTTTTCACAATATGTTTTAAACCTGGCTTAACTGGTTTATACATATACCAGTACATGTGTAATTGTCCCATTTTGCTCGCAAGTAACCAATGTCCTTATTTATCTTTTCTCCACCAAGAATACCATGTGTCAGTGGCACAAGGCACTTTACATAGCCTCAGGTATATATGCATTTGGAGCCATCTTCTATGCGATCTTTGGTTCTGGTGCAGAACAGAGATGGGCCAAAAAGCCGCTCTACCAAGCCAAGAACCTTCAAGATACATTGACAAACCACGACAGCACTCAATTACACAGGGCCGGCGGGGGTCATGTTCCGCCGTTTTCGTCACTGCATCGAAACAACATGCCCTAAGGGGGTAGCACAATTAGGGACTCCTAGACTATGGCAATGTCTAAAAGAGCATTGCTGGAATGTAAATTGGGCTCTTTTTAGAGTTATTCGTGTACTTAAGAGCTATATACGTTTGTACTGGTGCCCTCTGAGAGATTGATTGCGATTAATAATGATCATTTAAAAGTCACATAAGTGGACCAAATGGAGGCCCTGTGCTTGTCACATGGTCAGATAATCAACTTCCACCCAAACTAGGGGAGTCACTAGTGAAAGCAAGCTAAAAACTCCAATAGTGTAATAATGTGTTGGGACCTCACCTAATGTACTGGTACATAATACATAAGTTAAAGCTTGATGTGAAAAACTGATTTTTTTGTAAGCCCAGCTATCAGGGATAAGATTGTTTAACTGTCAGCAGATTTCCAACTTTTTGGGAGTCCCAAAAAAATTAAATTAAAGGTGGATTTTAAGGCTAGTAGGGAGTATTTCAAAATATAGAATTGCATGTTTCTCTAACAGCTTATGACCTATTATCATATTATCTGTGTCCTTTTAAACCAAATGCTAAATCATTGAATCAAATTTCTGGGCCACTTTTTAAATTTTGATTAAAGGTATTGAAAAGTTTCGTATGTCTCAAGGTGACTTTTAATTGTGTCATAATTATTTAAAACAAGAGGACATCATGTAATCTAAGTAGAAAAAATCACTCAGTATTCTTATTTGTATGAAAAATTTCAGAAAATATTGTTTTAGCTGATTGTACAGTTCATAATTAAAGGTTTCCAATAAAATTACAAATATTTCTTGATGCAAAGTTAAAAAATCAGGACTTGAAAGTGTCTATATGTGTCATTTTGAAGGACAATTGTAAGCTGCAGAGCCAGCATTTATAAGCTTGGAATGTGTTAGTTGAGCCAATTTGTAAGAATATGTTTGTTGAAGCAATAGGTAAACATTAAGTGAGTTTGCTAAAATGGTCCGTTAGTCCAGACAAAGTGCTGACTGAGACTATGGCACTTTAGACTGTGCAGATCAAAGGTGAGTCCGTGGGTAAATTAAGTCAGTGCAATATAATATGTTACCTGATATGTTAAGAGAATGCATTAGTTGAGACAAGGTGTCAGGTGAGGCAGTGTGGTAGTTGAGCCAGAGTGTTCAGTGTGAATGCATAAGAAGAGAATGCTTTTAGTGTGACAGTCTGATAATTGTGGTAGTTTGGTACAACACAAAACAATAGCTGTACGTAATATTTTGACATGGGCTTCGTAACTCGAAAGCATCACGTATTGCAAATAGCGATATCACATAGAGGCTACAGTGTATTATATNAATTTTGTTTATAAGCAAAACTTGTTCAAATTTAGTGTTTTTTTTTCAAATGAATATCAGCTTTATATATATATGTATATATATATATATATATATATATATATATATATTAATTTTTTTTTTTAAACAGAATGGCTTCCTGTCGGCTGTGCCATATCTGTGCATGTGGATTATAGGAAATGTATCAGGGATATCGGCTGATTATTTACGTCATAATAAAATACTGTCAACAACTGCAGTGAGAAAACTCTACAATGGCTTAGGTGAGATTTATACGTACTCATTTACCTATGTGTGCATGTCTGCGTGGGTGGGTGCGTGCTTGTTTGTTTGTGCCAATGTTATTGTGGAGGAAGTGAGATATTCACTTCATCCTGTAGCAATAGACCTGTCTACCTTTTTATTTATCAAGGTCTGTAGTCAACAATTTCAAAAGGAGTGAAAGTTCTTTTCCTGACCTAATGACCTTAATTTGTATCTCTTTACTTAGTGTTCCCAATTTGAGAAAAAGCATAAAACCTCTGTCAGAGTTTTCTTTCTGGTCACTGTTCTTTCCCCTCAAACCCCCTCACCACAGGCCAAGTGCCTGTGTGTCTGTTTGTCTTTTATTGGATACAAGTGATCCTTATACTGTAAAATCTCTCTCTCAATCTCTCTCTGTCTCTCTTTCTCCCTCTCTCTCTCTCCCTGTCTCTCTCTCTCATCTGCCTACATGTATTTTTGTATTTACTTCAGGTTTGATGTTTCCAGCAGTTTTCTTAATATGTGTAACTATCATAAAATGCAACCATGTTCTGGCCGTCTTGTTCCTCTCCATGGCGGTGGGTTTAGAAGGCATGATCTATGCAGGGTTTAATGTCAACCACCTTGATATTGCTCCAGCATATGCAGGTGAGGACTAGAGTGCAACCACAATAATAATAATAATAATAATAATAATAATAATAATAATAATAATAATAATAATCAGGTTATGGTTGTAATGGAAAATTTTGCAAATAATACTTGGTAAAAAATGAAAATTTAAATTAAAAGTTTTATTGTGCTAGAATATTTTCATCATCCCAATAACTTGTATTATTATATTATATGAAAGTAGTGAAAGTGATCAGGAGTTATTGTCATTGTACAGTATGTACTTGTCAAGTGTGTTGTTGTTTTGTTGGAATATTTCAACAGTTTTAAGTATTAAGATGGTATAAATATATAGATATGCTTAAACATTTTAACCATCTGTTAACAATGTTATTATCCCTATCAGGTTTAGTGATTGTATCTTTGATGAAAATGCGGTGGTTGAAAGGAGGGAGAAAAGGAAAAAGTGTGGTTGTTGAGCCAGTATGATAATGTGTTAGTTGAGACAAGGTGTAAAATGGGGCAGTATGGTTGTTGAGCCAGTATGTTCACTGATAATGTGTTAGTTGAGACAGCATTTTAATCAAAGCAGCTGTGCAAAAATTACAGAAGGAGAAGCTGTTATGTAATAATATTGCTGTTCATATAACAGAGTCATTTCACTGCTACATTTATCAGCTGGGATTGTTTCAGGAACTTTGTATGGCCTCACCAATCTGGCAGCCACAATTCCAGGTTTTCTAGGGCCACAGGTTGTTGGTATACTTACAGACAATAATGTAAGCATATGGAAGGCACTGGGCCTACATGTAGTTACACTGAACCTGTTCCTAAACCTTTACAAGCTTGCAGTAAAAATATCCAAGATTTGTTTCCCCCCCCCCCCTTTTTTTTTTTCACTGTGCATACTTAGTGGCCTAAAAGCAAATTTCAGGTTGTTGGTATTCTTACAAATGATAATGCAAGCAAATAAAATGTTCAGAGCAGCATGTGTCATGTCCTCAGCCTGGTTATCATCCACTTGTATCTAAGGCTTTATAAGCTTGCTGCAAAAATAGCCATGCTTTGTAAAAAATTTTTCATAATTTTTTTTTTATGACTGTACATATTTACTAGCCTCATAAAGCAAATCTTCTGCTGTTTTTGAGACTGTACTTCACCTGGTCAGTGAACAGCATATTTAACTCTCTCTGTTACTTGCGATTTCTCTCTGTCACTTGCGATCGCTCTCTCTAGCTGTTACTTGACTTCCTGTGGATTTTTCTTCCTTTTTGTCATTGCTAGCTTTCTGTCCTCCTGGGAGCTGACAAAATCTTTATTTAATGTAAATTTGATGAATTTCTGTCATTGTATTCTTTAACGTAGATCTTGGAGACGTCATTAGAAATCCTAATTGATGTGTGACAACATAAGGTCTGTAAGATCTTTATCTTATTTGCACTACTGTTGTGTCATTTATTTCAGTGCAACATTCCCAACAATTGTCACTGCTTGGAAATTAATATTACTATTTTTTTTTTACATTTTATATTTTTTTCATATATATGTTTTATCCACAGGACCTCTTACCGCCTTCATTGCCTGTTACTTTGATCTTCTCCTTTAACCATACTCATTGCTTTCTTTGGCCCTCTCTTGTCCCACTCAGTTCCTTTTTTATTTTTCTGTACATTGGACATTATCTTCTAGATTCCCATGTCTTTTCATTCCATATGGAGTGCAATATTATTAAATTAATAATTCATCTTGTGTTACTCTTATACTGGTATATGTTAACTAACCAATCTTCTTTAACTGCATTGCACTTTATTCACTATCTCTGTTCACATTTGTTCTGTATTAAGTGAACATGTACATTTCTATAATTTTAAACATTTTATGTATGTTTTCACAATATGTTTTAAACCTGGCTTAATGGGTCTATACACATACCGGTACATGTGTAATTGTCCCATTTTTCTTCCAAGTAACCAATGTCCTTATTTATCTTTTCTCCACCAAGAATACCATGTGTCAGTGGCACAAGGCACTTTACATAGCCTCAGGTATATATGCATTTGGAGCCATCTTCTACGCGATCTTTGGTTCTGGTGCAGAACAGAGATGGGCCAAAAAGCCGCTCTACCAAGCCAAGAATGTTCAAGATACCTTGACAAACCAGGACAGCACTCAATTACAGAGGGCTGGCGGGGGTCATGTCCCGTCGTTTTCGTCACTGCATCGAAACAACATGCCCCAAGAGGGCGGCACAATTAGGGACTCCTAGACTATGGAAATGCCTAAAAGACCATTGCTGGAATGTAATTTTCAGAGTTATTCGTGTACTTAGGAGCTATATATGTTTGTACTGGTGCCCTTTGAGAGATCAATTGCAATTATCAGTTATTATGTAAAAGTTACATAAATGCAAGGGCGATAAGATTCTCCGAATATCGGCAGATTTCCAACTTTTTTTTGGTGGTGTTGATGCTTTCAACAGTAATAGGATTTTTCTGACTATCCGTGGATTTCTAAATTTTAGAGATGGATTTTTAGTTTAGGGAGCATTTCAAAATTTTGAATTGTATGTTTCTCTAACAGCTTATGACCTCTAACAGCTTATGACTTTTAATTTTGTCATAATTATTTAAAACAAGAGGACATCATGTAATCTAAGTAGAGATAGTAAAAATCACTCAATATTATTTCTTTGAAAAATTTCAGAAAATATTGTTTTATCTGATTGTACAGTTCATAAAGGTTTCCAATAAAATTACAAATATTTCTTGATGCAAAGTTAGAAAAAAAATTCTGCATGTGCCATTTGAGTGACAATCACAAGCTGCAGAGCCAGCATTTTTAAGCTTAGAATGTGTTAGTTGAGCCCAATTGTAAGGCAAAAATATGTTTTTGTTGAAGCAATTTGTAAACATAAAGTGAGTTTGCTAAAACGGTCCGTTAGCTCAGACAAAGTTCTAGCTGAGACTATGGCACTTTAGACTGTGCAGATTGAAGGTGAGTCAGCAGGTAAATTTAGGCAGTGCATTATCTTACCTGGATTTGTTCAGAGAATGTGTAAGTTGAGACAAGGTGTCAGGTGAGGCAGTGTGGTAGATGAGCCAGGGTGTTCAGTGTGAATGCATTAAAAGAGAATGCTCTTAGTGTGACAGTGTGATGATTGTGGTAGTTTTGTATAACACAGAACAATAGCTGTTATATTTTAACATGATTGGGCAAGTAATAGAGAATCCAGCATATAATTCAATATAACTACAAGCTTGCAATATAAATATTCTGCTTTATTTCTTCCTTTCTTTCTTTCTTTCTTTCTTTCTTTCTTTCTTTTTTTTTAAGGAACCTTGCTTGGTTTCACCAACTGTGCAGCCACAATACCAGGTTTTCTAGGACCACAGGTTGTTGGTATTCTTACAGATGAAAATGTAAGCAAATGCCAGCTAGTATGCTGTAAATAACTGCAAAACATTATTTAATCTTTGAAAATTCATTGTCATTCAGTATACAGTGTACTTGTGTCCCAGCTCCGCTTTTTTTCAGTTTGTTCTTCTGCTGCTTGCATCACAGATATCTCAAAATGTTGGACATGAAAATCATAACTTAATATAAATTTTAATATATAATTATGTTAAAAAATTTAATACATGCACATAAATTGATAAATTTTATTAAGCACTTGTATTAAGTCATGCAATTTATTTATACCAAGTACTTCATAACTGTTTTGAGTAGTAAAATATCAATTGTACAAACCCAACATACACTGCACACACACACACACACACACACTCAGACACAGATATACAGATCAGGACATCATAAGTATTCTTTTATCTTAAACTGATATTTGCATGATACTCACAGACACATTACAGTGTCCATGTGGTATTTTTTGTTAGTAGCGACAGTGATCAAGCACCTATATATAGGATTTGATCATTTCAACCGGGCATAATTATCAATTTTTCAGATACATTATTTTGGAATTATTAATAATATATTTTTATATAGCATTTTGGCGCTTTTACTGTATAGATATCAGGTCTGCTTTTCAACTGTGTTGCTATCACTCAGTAGGAATATTTTCAAAAATTTATAACTTAAAAAAATACAGTATCCATAAAATTCCGTATTTTCCCAGTTGAAATGATCAAGCCCTTACCATATAGCTACAATAAGGCCTCATTCAGAACAGGGGACTAACAAATCCGCAGATCAGCTATGACCGACCCACTTGAATACTTGTTGTGGAATCCTTGCAGGAAGTCTATTCCTGAATTAAGCGGCAAGCTTTTAAGTGGGTCACCATATTTGCTCTGCCATTCTGTCAGTCCACTTTTCTGAATGCACTCTGAGAGTTTTTATCCTCCATTTTTCAATCTCTCTGTTACCCAGAATACCATGGTCCAGTGGCACAAGGCATTTTACATATCGTCTGCAGTGTACGCATTTGGTGCCATCTTCTACGTGATCTTTGGATCTGGCGTGGAACAAGGTTGGGCCAAAAAGCCACTCAACGCAACCAAGAATGTGCAGGAGTCCGTGACGCACTACGACAGCACCCACTTTCAGGGGGTCAACAGCCTTCATGTCCCACCATATACATCACCACATGCAAAGCCCATGCTGCATGATGACTAAGTAAGAGCTCATTCAGGACAGGGGACTAACAGATCTGCGGATCGAATATGGCCGACTCACTTGAATGCTTGTTGCGTAATTCCTGCAGGAAATCTTTTCAGTGTCTAATCCTGAATTAAGTGGAAATCTTTATAGTGGGTCGCCATATTTGATCTGGGAATCTGTTAGCACATGTACTGTTTTGACGGTGCTCTAAGGAGGGAGACCTAGAGTTGTGACTGTGCTTTTGGAACAGTTGAGCAATTTCTGGATCCCATTTTGTGTAAAATCTCACTTTAAAAATTATTACAGTAGTCCTGGCATTTGACCTTCTGAGATAAATGGGTCACTTGCCGATAATGTCTGATGTCAAAGAACGACATACAATTGTAACAAACTTCCCACGTAATGGATAAAAATAGCTGGTCCCAGTGGGAGGCATTAGAGATCACTCAAAATCTCAAAGGCTTGGCATAAAATCGAGGTCTCCGGACTTTGCACAAAATCAAGTGAGATCCGGAGTAGAGTGGGATCAGAAATAAAGGCAGACTTGCCAGTGCAGTGTGGCAATGGGCAAAAGCTGACCATATTTATTTTGTTTTGTTTTTTTTTTCTATCAAATTCTGTCGAATCATAGGTTATTGCACAATTGTTCATTTCAGCTTTCTAAGACAATGTTCCTGGCTCAAAAAATTCACCATTCTCAGTGGAAAGTTAACTCCACATCATGCAAATTCTCAAACATTTTCACGTCACATGCTGATAACCTTTTTTTTAGTTTATCTTGTATGATTCCCTTGGGAATCCTCTTTACTTGGCACGTGTTTAAACAATGAAACCATATTAATAATTTGAAACCACGTTGGTGGCGTGTGCTATACACAATACTGAATTAATACTTACAAGTGATTTAACTTTATTTATTGAGGGCGAAACAAGGAAAATATATGATTTATCTTCCTTATGTCCCTCTTTGTGGTGCAGAAGAAACGGGTACCTTTATGTTTTGATGTGCTTTTCCAGGGCAAGTGAAATTTAACAATTAAAGGCTGTGCTTAGGATAGAAGTTATCATACTAGCAGGAGCAATCTCCCTTAGGCAGTGTCATTCACTAGTGGGCTAGATTTGGTTTTTAAGTGCAATTTAAGTTCACAAATGATCTTAAACGATCTTAATCATTACTGCAGTAGTCTTAAAATGGACTGAATCTGCTTTTAAGATCAAAAATGATCTAACATCTACTTAAGTGGTCAAGCAGTTTCCTCCCCTCACAATAGAGGACACCTCTGCTCACAATTATAGGAGAATGTGTAAGGGGAGACAACTTAATTGGCTGTCAGACTAGAAATGGTCTTACTCATGTTTTAAGATCATGTAAGACTATTTGTGTTCTTAAATTGCACTTTAAGACCAAATTAAGCCCACTAGTGATTGTTATCAGCCAAGTTGTCAGACATGCCCCGTTGCAAAGCAACATGAACAACAGCATGGATCACAAAATTTTCCCCAACTTTCCCCAAGAACTTCAAGTTACAAGGGGGCATGTCAGGCAGTTAAGCTTATTGCATTGCTGGTGAGATAGATTGATCCTGCTAGTATGATAACTTTTATTCTGAACACAGCCTAAGAGATTGTATTGATCAATTACGGTGCTTTGATGAGGTACAAATAACGTGGCCATTTTTTTGCATGTGTACTGTTGTTTTGGACATTATATAGATCACTTATATAATTACGATATCAGGGCATTCCCCCACTTCTTCCTGTTATGAATATCATACTGAGAATGGGCAATGTGATATTCAGGAAATTATGCCTGCCTCTATTCAAATGTAGACAGATAATCTCACTCATCTAGGCATCTTCTTCCACCTGTGTGAAATGGTTACAGTTATTTTGGACATTGTATAGATTACTTAGGGTCATATTTTGAGGACGATTTTTGAAAGTATTCAAAAGTTTTTCCTAAAATGTTTTAAATGTTTGATTGTTATCAGATGCAAGTTCTGAAAGCTAATCTAAATCCAAATAGTGTGAAAAAAACTTATTACATATTTTTTTGATAATTGTATCAAATGTGCAATATATGTGACCACAAATAAAGCAATATGATTAACATATGGTGTGTTCATATTTTGGTGCCTTTTGCCCTGTTCTTCAGTGTGGTCAATTATGTGTAACATACAACATCCAAGAAGCAATGCCATTTCTAATAGTGCTGCCATATCATTTATCACATAAATGCCGATTTGATAAATTTTTCGACTGATAGATTTAGAGGTATGGGGTAAAAGGTACAAATAACATCATCATAAGGTAACAAGATGGGTTTATTAAGAATACAGAGAGTGCAAAATCAAATCAATCCCCCCCCCCCCCTCTTATAAAAACCCTCAAATATATTCGAGTTGCTGTCTCCATAAGTCATTGCAGACAAAATTCTGAAGTAAAATTCAACCACTGCTGGCTCAGTTTTGCACTTCGTTCCCACATCCATTCCTTCAGTTTTGATTCATTTTTCTTGACCTCAGTTCTGTGAACATCATTAGATTTAGTGCAACTAATCATAACATATAAATCTGGGTCATCAGAGAGGCAACATTGCTTACTGGGTATGTACCACCAGCAGGGTGGAGTGATAACACCACATACTAGTACATGTAGGTATAAAATTAAGAATTTATTCACCACAGACACAGAGCAATAGTTGCGACATATGTACATTGTACATGAACCTGGTCAAATGCAAAGCACTTCTTGCAGCAAAGGGTAATTATGATAATTTAATAATTTCAAATTTATTTTCAAATGCGTCACCATATTCTAATATTTTACTTTTTGGCTAATAGTATGCATCAATTTCAAAAATAAATATCAACTTCCCAACTTACATTGACAGTTCTTCAAAAGTTCAACTTTTACAAACAAAACATTGTTTTAAAATAACTGCTGTGTCTGCAAACAGTTATGCTGAAAAATATTCAATAAATCATCATTCAACTTGAATGAATATCTGCCTTAATCTATACCCCAATAGCATAGTGTTACCTTCCCCAGGATCAACAATGTTAACACCTTGTTCCAATATTTCATCATTTCAAGACTTATGTTATTTTATTTGATCACTCTCTTTCAAAGAAAAAAAAAACGCACTCAAAATCTAACTTGTATAGCATGTATAAACATTTAAATTGTATAAAAAGCTTCATCAATTTTGCTTCACTTTAGAGGTGCATTTGGTGTAATTTTTTTTTTTTTTTTTTTT